CTGACATGAAGCGTAGCACAGCCTGAAGCCTCAACAGGAAGTGGAAATGCTGAGGCTTCTGCTGTTACCTCCACACCTCACTCTTTCCAGCCTCCTTAGCCCTGATGGAGGCTTTTGCAAACACATGCCTTTTACAACCTTTTTAAAAGGTCATCCTCACTCAGGTGACCTCCTGTCTGTCACCACACAAAAAGTGTTCAGTTGGGATGGGGTTGTGGCTCAGTGGTAGAGCACTCACCTAGCACGTGTGAGGCTCTGGGTTCGATCCTCAGCACCACATAAAAAAATAAATAAAGATATTGTGTCCAACTATAACTAAAAAAAAAGAAAGAAAGAAAGAAAAAGAAAATAATGAAACCTCTTTACCAAAAAAAAGCGCATTCAGTTATTTTTTGAACATGATTTTTTTTGTCCTATATTGGTCCTGAAATTTGGCTTACTATGGCTACTTAACCATAGTTCAAAATGAATATACTGCATTCTCACCCTACCCAGATAACCTCAAAATATACAATGAAATAATATATATTAAAAAGAAGTATGCTTTTCTGCGCCACGGTGAACTGTCATCAGATATGGTCTTTTCCACACTATTTGTTTCTTCCTTTCCCTCCCTTCCCTTCCCCTCCCTTATTCTCTCCTTTCCTTCCTATTATTTAATCCCTTATCATATAAATGATTGTCAAGTCTCTCACCATCCTGGCCACACTTCTATGGATACACTCCAATTTGTTAGAACTGAGCCCCCAATTTCAATATTGCATGACTTGTTGGCTCACACTTTACCCTATCAAACTCAACCTTTCCCAGTTAATTTCCCCCTTTTCTCTATCTTTCTTCCTCAAAGGACACAGTTTCACACACTTGTATTAACCAATTTCCTCACCTCTTTAGTTATTACATGCTCACAAATAACTCCCTCCAGAGGTCCCTATATTCGCCATTCAACAGATCTTTATCAAGAGCCTACGTCAGATTAAGCACTATTCAAATTGCTAGGGATACACAGCAGTAAATGGAACACACTTAATTTCTTGCCTTAGCCAGGTGAGGTAGTTCATACCTGTAATTCCAGTGATTTGGGAGGCTGAGGCAGGAGGGATGCAAGTTTGAGGCCAGCCTTAGCAACTTAGTGAGACCCTTTCTCAAAAAATAAAAAAGGACTCTGGATGTAGCCCAGTGTTCCTGGGTTCAATTCCAAGTACCCCCACCCCCCAAAAAAGATAGAAAAAATATCTTCAAAAAATATTCCTTGTCCTTGTGAAACCTATGTGCTAGTGGGAAAGGCAGATAATAAATTAAAAAATAATTATACAGTGTTAGAAATTAGGAAATGATCTGGAAAATAACAAGACAATGTGCTCAGGTGTGAGGGAGATGGCTTAGGGTTGTACCTGATCTGGTTGAGTAATTTAAGTGACGAGTGAAGCTGGAGGCTCATTTTCCTTCTTTTTGACTGTGTAGCAGAGAGCTGGTTCAGCACTTCTCCAGTACCTGTTCAACAGGCGGACACCAGCCACCAGCTCCAGCGAGTGCCCCTTTCTAGCCTGCCCACTTGTATGACCAGGGAGCTTCTGTTGTTACAAGCTCACATAAATTCCTCATTCCCTACCAGTATGTAGAGCCAGCTGCTGAGACTTGAACTGCTGTGTGTGCAGACCATTTGTGCCCAACCTAAAAAGTAGGACAGTGAGAGTCTCTGGGGTTGAGTGCACTCTCTGACTCCGCTGCTTGCATGTAATCCACCCTGTAAAATCCTGTTTTCTACCTGCATCACAGGGCACAAGTGATATGTGTCCATGACTTTTACAGAATGTCAGAGTAGGCCCTGTCATAAAGGTTGCTTGTGAGTAAAAACTCAGGGAAGTAAGAGAAAGACCAGCCAGTGCAAAAGGAAGAAGCATATATGACATGAGTGATGTTGCCAGAGCAGAAGAAGCCAAAGGAGTACTATTAGGAGATCTGAGAGGTGAGGGAGGCTGGATCTTGTAAGGTCCTATGGGACATTAGCTTTTACTTTAGAAGAAATGGGAATCCATTGGAAGGATTTATGGAAAGGAGAGACATAGTCTCACTTGGAAGGCTCATGTGACTATCTAGGTAGAAGTGACAGTGGCTGGGACCAACATATAACCATTTAGGTGATAGCTTTTGAAGGTGATTCAACTGGTGTCATGACACATCAGATGGGAGGTATCATAATAAGAGAAGACCTAAGGATGACTCTAAAGTTTTAGGCGGGAGCAAGTGGAAGATTGAAGGGTTTTGTTATATTTTTAGGGCTACAGCAGATTCTAGTGTCTAGCCACAGCATTCTTGATTCAAAATGAATTATTTTCATATCTCTAATGTCTGTGTGTGTTTGTCTCCCCACTAATTTGTAAGCTCCTCTGAAGTCAGAGTTCCTGCCTATTTGTTATATCTCCTTTACTAACTCAGCACAATCCTGCTACCTTAGTAATTTAATAAATAGTAGTTTTTATTTTTAAAGAATATGGATTTAGAATCAGTTTCACATCTTGACAAACTATATGCCTATAAACAATCTGAAATCCCAAAGTGATGTCAAATGATGTAATTTTCCAAAACAATAGGAAAGACTGTATTTATTTCATTTTCCTAATAGCTTTATATGTTTGTACTGTGTAGCGTTGAATACCAAGTACTGTTTAGTTTATTTTTTCCTAGTATCCTACACATCACTTTTACTTGCTATGTTTAATTTTGCATTAACAGACATTTTTTTCCATTTACCAGATGTCAGCCCTCTATTAAGTGAAACCAATCTGAATTATTCCCATTTTTAGTGATAACATATAAAATATACAATAAACACTAAACAAGGGAGTTTTAGTTTGTTTTATTTGGTTGAGTTAAAGGAGCAGATATTTGATACTATGTCTGTGAAAGTTGCTGGGAGTTTAAAAAGAAGACATGCCTGAGCTCTAAATAAAATCAGGGTAAGGATCACAATTTTAAATTAAACATTCATTAAATTCTCAGCATGTTTTCTGCTGTTAGGCCATCTGTAGACCGTCTTGGCAAAAAGAACCTCCTGGCCTGTTCATCAAAGCATCTCACACAGGAGCACAGGTCTTCAGGAAGAAAGCTAGACACTGCAGGGCAGCCAATGCAGGAGGTCTCTGTGCTGATAATATGACTGGTCCAGTTGCCTGATAGCCTTGCTAACTGCTTTTTGTTACCTAAATGAGTGTGAACGCATATGCTTGTTACATCTAAAAACTGAATATTGGATCATGTCTAAACTAACAGCAAATAATTAGTGAGTGCTTAAACTGAAGTTCTCTGATACACATAATGGATAATTGTTATTTCAAAAATACTTTAGCATTTGATAACCAATATCTTAGGGAAGAATGTTGATTGACCGTGTATTAGACAAAGGGGAATGAAGGGGAGGGAGTGAGGGTAAGAATGGGAAAGACAGTGGAATGAATCTGACATAGATTTCCCATGGATGCATATGGATACGCCACAGTGAATCTGAACATCGTGTACATCCACAAGACTAGGATCCTAATCAGAATAAGATGTATTCCATGGTTGTATAAATATATCAAAATAGATTCCACTGTCATCTAAAACTAAAAAGAACAAATAAAAATTGTAAATATTAAAGTTTTTTAAAATAGGTCAGATCTGAAAAAAAAAAGAGTGTTGTTTGAGCCCAGCCTCTTCTCTGTACAAATTTCAAATATTACTGAAAATTGAGCATATTTTCATTTGCTCATTAACATTAGTACCTTATCAAGGCAGATCATACTACTTTAAAGCAATTCTTGGTTAGCCTTGACTATGGAAATACAGGCATGAGAGATCATCACTACTACATTTTTATTCTACTGCTAACCTATTCTTCTTTTCATTTACTTGACATACTTCTGTATTCTGTGACTTTTTCTTTTTGGTCACATCTTAGAACTGAATAATATCCACTAATGATTTGCCAATCAGTTATGGCTGTGCTGATGACTTCTATTCCCTATTTATTTAACTTCTACCCACTAGAGAATGTTAGTACTTTAGGTTTTGTTTGTTTAACTTGGAAAGTTGATAAATAATATTTATGCTCTTAATAGCTCCTAATTGAAACATTAAGCCACTAAATGATGAGCCACTCAATTGATAATAATACTCTCTTTGAACATTAGCCCAGTTGAGAGCCAGGTGTCACACATATGTGAAATCACCAGAGCCCTGCCTCCAGGGTCTCTCTGAGCTGGGTTCTTACCCCCTCTGTGCTAATATGAAAGTGTTTGAAGATGGAGGGAAATTAGACTCTTAACTGAAGCATGCAGTTTGCCAATGACTACTTCAATCAAAAAGGGCTGGATATTAATTTAATATTATCTACGTGGGTATTGATACAGATAAAAGTTAGTCTCTCAAGAAGTTTCCAAAATAACATAGTGCACAAGCAGGGAGGTTACCTGTAATACTAGGCAGTGAATGAAGAGTCTAGAAGATGACAACCACCTAAGTATTCCCACTTGAATGTCATTGTTCCTGGGCTCTTCCTAATTCTATTCCAAGACATGCACCTACCAATGATCCTTTTTATAAAATTATTTTTTGGTTGTAGATGGACAGAATACCTTTATTTTGTTTATTTTTATGTGGTGCTGAGTATTGAAACCAGTGCTTCACACATACTAACCAAGCATTCTACCACTAAGCCACAGCTACAGTCCTATCCTACCAATAATTCTTGTGTTAGATGTGAACCTGATGAAGTAGGAGGAGTTTGATGAAGGGACTGCACATCTGCATATCTGTGTAGACACAGGTGGATATATTCTCAGTATAGATATAAATATATTTTGCAAGTTAAAACATATTTCAAGGTAATGTTATCAAATGCTATATTCTGATATTGTTTATGTCTAGATTTAAATCCATACTTTCCTAGGGAAACATGTTATCTTTTATTCTTGTCTCAGTAGGTGCCAGATATTCAAATAATATTTTTCTATCTCTAGGGAATTAAGGACCCAAAGGCAGTGAAAATTGACTTATAGGAAGAGTGTCAACAGTAAGTCATGCTACACGTGTAGAAAAGTAGAAAGCATCCCTACCAATCCTTAAAATGTTTGGCTGACAGCTATACACTGGGTGGCAGGAGAAACTGATTAACCTTTTACTCCTAGGAAGATTCCTCAGGCATGTAGTGTGGTTAATGCTGTGAGACATACAGTATTTAATAGCTGTTCAGCATCTTTGAAAAAATTATAGTTATTGTAGGAATATCACTGATAGATTATGGCTCTCAGGAAGCCTGGGGAATAAAACTTGAATATATTTCACATACTTTCCTTTGTGTTTTGCCAGCCTTTGTTGGAAGTCTTATTGAGCAGTTAAGTGAGCAAAAGATGAGCTAAATGAACAGGAGGAGGAGACATAAGGAACTTGCAAAATTAAATACCCTGCTGAGATTCCTGTCCATTCTGCAACTTTGGTTGCTTAGCACCGGTCCCCATCCTGCGGAGGTTGTAGAAGCATATAAGAACTGACCCCTGCCTTCCACAATCAACATCTAAATGGTGATACAAACTGGAGTACATTCAGTCATTAAATAATAGAACCCAGAAGTGCTATGGTACAAGTGCCTAACAGATATCTAGGAAAGGACAGAGAGGGGACACATATGGTCTCAATTGGTCAGAAAGGCTCAGGGAGGTACCAGAGCTGGGCTTTTGAGAAAGGGGGAAGTTAAAGTTAGCTAAAACCCGGGACAGGAGCCTGTATTCCAAAATATGGAGAAATTCTGGGTTGTAAATATAGCTAAGGGCTTCAAGGGGGAGTAAGAAGCAGATCTAAGTGAAAGGAATTCATATTTGAAAACTATAGCAGATTTGTTTAGAAAGGCAGTAGGAGCCAGATTATGAATTGTTGTGGAATTCAGGTCAAGAGTTTAAATTTCATAATTTAGCAAATGGAATGAGAGAAGTTCCGTTTTGGGTAAGTATCTGGAAGGCTGAATTTAGAACAGATGGAAAGAAAGTCAAAAACAAAAAGACCACCTGAGGGGCTTTTGTCTGAGGTTAGAATTAATGGGGACACTGAGAATTAGTGAAGGATTAAAAGGTAGAAGGCACTTGACTTAGTCCATAGCAAGAGCATGACAGTATACTTCCTTTGTGCAAGGGTGGCTTATAAGAGTGCAGGGGAGTCATTTAATAGAGTCATTGAAGGAGGGAAGAAAAAAAAAAAATGGGAGGTTGAGTTAGACTCCAAGGAAGAAGGTGATGAGTTTTGTCTCAGACATGTTGAATCCAGGAAAGTGGCTCTACTTCATGCAATACCATGAAAACATTGAAAGTCACAGACTGGAATTTAGAGGAGATTCAGAAGGCATATCCAAGAATCTGTTTCACTCATTGGGGGAAAAGAAATGTTTTAATGAAGCCCACAGAGGTGCAGAAGCTTAACCATGCAGGCTAACTACTATTTAGTTGAAATTATAATATTTTCAATCAGATTTAAGGATGTTTGAATTCTAGATACTTGACATGAATGCACATAATTATAAGAGTCTTAGAGACAAGGGTAGCACTCTAATATTATGTTATTGAAACAGATATTCAAGTCCTTTAGTGAAGCATTACCCATATTCAGGAAAGTTAGATAGTTTAAGATTATAGACAGGTTATCTATCTAATTTATCTACCTATTGTTGAGATTATTTAAATTACACTTAATTGTGCTTCTATTGATTTCTCATTTTTCCCTTTTAGAGATAACTTATCTCTTCTTATATTTCAGACTGTAGTTTTAAATTACCTTCATTAGAAAATTTGGAGAAATATAGTCTTTTTTTATTTCTTTCTGAATGAAGTAGTCCCAGAGAGGGAATCAAGGATGGACACTTAGAAAACACTCCAAGGAGAAAGATTCTCTTACCTGCCAGAGTAATATGTTGAATGCAGTTCTCTGACTTATGTTCTCACAGAGATGAGATAGGAATATTGACCCCAGATTTTCTGCCAATAATGGAGTAAGGTGTGTGCTATTTATTAGAAATGGCATCCTCTCTGTCTCTAGCAGTGGGTGTATCATGGTCTCAGAAAGTGAAAAGATACCAGTTCTACTGCATAGCCATCATTGGGCATTTTATCAAATTACTTGTGATGGTATATATACCAACACACTTATATGTATTAAAGTATAGGACATGCAAATGGAATAGCAAAGAACCTTAATACATCGGGGCAAGTACAAAGTGAACTTGTGAGACCATTCACAAGAAATGTGTGTCATGAATGTGTCCCTGTACATGTGAAGGCTTCAAGATCTGTGATTCTAAGAGCAACTGAACTCTCCCCCAGTTCCCATGGCCAGTCTGTTTGGCGGGGGTCTGCTAATCCCCTCAACAGGTTCCTGCTATTAGGGATTCTGAGAACCCCTTTTTGACAAGAAACTTAGTTCTTAGAGAATTTTGTGACTCTCAAAGTCAAGCCATTTCCTGAAAAGAGGCAGAAGATTTTATAAATTCGGTCCCCAGTTTTTTTGGTATTTGTTTGGCCCACTTTTACCTCATCTTTGGTCATAGAAAACTTTTTGTAACAGTTTAGATTAGGTCTAGGTACAGGTGACAGGAAGACAAAACAATATCAGCTTGAGTAGGATAGATAGTTTCTCTTTCCTGTAAAAACCTAGTGGCAGTCAGCCCAGGCAGGAGAGAAGGGCAGGTCATCTCTGTTCCAGAAACTCTTTAGTAACTCAGGTTCTTTCAAGCATGTGCTCTGTTAGCCTGAAAGAGAGGCTTTCCTTTTCATAGACCAAGATGGTAGCTTTCACATGCCACATAGCAGAATAGAATATATTACTAAAAAGAAGGGTGCATTTCTGCTGTCTTTCACCATCCTGGAAGCTACCTTCTGATACTTATGCGTCTATATCATTGACCAGGAACTTGGCCATATAGATGTACCAAACTGCAGGGAGACTGGGAAATGTAATCTTCTGCTGGGTGAACATAGTTGAACTGAGTGATCTATTATATGGAAGAGGGAAGAATGAATATTGTGAGGAAGCTTATAACCTTTGCCTTCCTTGTTCATGGTAATGGCACCTGGCATTAGCATTTGTCTGTGGAGGTACCTGCAACAGAAGAGAAGGTGCGGACAGAGTAGCACAGCATCAGTTAAGAGGATGGACCCTGGGGTCATACTGCCTGGGTTTGAATCCGGATTTGCTCAGATACAAAGGGAAAATAGTATTAATATCTTCCTCCTAGAGCTATTGTAGTGATTAAATGAAATACTGAATATTTTGAGCATGATATCTAAAACTTGATAAACATTTGATAAAGGTTGTAGCTCTTATTATTAAGAGTGTAAAGTAAAAAGTTTTGAGCATCCAAATGCATAAAACTTTTCTGTACATTTTTTATAATTGGGAGGATATAAGTACTTTACTTGCCAGAGATGGTAAAATTCAGGGTGGTTATCATTTCTAATTGCATTTTTCTTCTTTTGAAAATAACCTGAGATGTGCATGCTTGATTGTGAGTTGAGGGTGGTTCCTAATAAATTGGGTGGTTTTCTTAATTTTCGATGGGTTCTGCATATTTCATTGACACTACTGATTCACACTAGTATTGATGTGAAACACATTTTACATCAAGAATTTATGGGATCCCCCTTCCTACTGTTGTAACAAAGTGGAAATTGGGCATCACATCAAAATGAGGAGGCTGTCCCTGAACAGCCTTGGATGGATGAAGTTCAAAGGTGGCAACGTGGAATTGGTTTGCAGTGTTTGCCGGTTAAAGGATAGACCACTCTGAATGGAATACCTGTGAATCAAAATGTCAAAATGTGAAAGTCTGACTTGTTCTTCATTCAGAAACAGTGAGAGTAGAGCAATGGGTGAAAACGCAGCTTGGTATTGCAACTTGGATGTGATAATTATCTTATGATTACAGACAACAAAATAGTTGTGTTGAGTTTTTTTTTAACCAATTCCTAAATGTTCTTTTGCTTCTCTCTTTTTCTTTCTTTCTCTAAGCCCCCTCTTTGTTCTGTGGCTTTTCTTTTGTAACTCCTCCAGACTACAGCTTTGTTCCCCCTTCTTCCACTCCTTTCTGGTCAGGTACTGCTTTACTGCTTTTATATGTCTCTCCAGCTTGCTTCTGTTTGCAAATAAAATATTTTTGACTTCTGTGTATGGCTTCTCATATAGATACATCTCCTCACAGACAGTCCCTAGAGTTCCATTACCACCATGCACTTTACTCTTCTCTGTCATAAAGTCATTGTTTGTCATGACATTTCACTTCTCTGGTTTTTGCGTGTGTGCTCATGCCATATATTTCAATGAGACATTTTATAATGTGTCTGTGGGTAGAGGTGGGAGAGGGATGGGGACTGGAAGTATAAAGGGAGATGAAGTATTCTGCAAATACCATTAATATTTTTTTGAAGACTAGAAACTTTAGGCCAGAAAAGACAGTGCTTATGTATTTCCACAAAGAAAATAAAAAGAACCCAAATCATAATTTTACTTTCAAATAGAAGTATAAAATTCAGTGCATATTGCTTGAAAGGATGCCTATCAATCCTACATCTCTTTGGTTTCTGCCCAGGCATTTTGGCCTTGATTTCTGTCATTAGCTAGAGAGTTTAATGGCTATTTATGTGGCATTGAAGGGACAACATTAAGGCTAGGTAAAATATTTTGTCTTACAGGTTTTAAAAAATTTAGCCTGTAAGTCCCAATAGAATCATAGAGTTTTGAAATAGAAAGACCTTAAAAGTCATCTAGTACAAACCTTTCATTTTATAGATGAGAAAAATGTGGCCTAGAGGGGTTAAGAGGCCTGTGCAAGGTCACACAGTTAAGTTGATGATAGGGTTTTTCCATCACAGGGGTGTTTTTATGTGCTCTGACTCTAAGAGTAGTGCCCCGGCAATGGGACAGTTTTCAGTAAGAAAACCATTAAAATGGTTTGTGTCCTGAACAGTAAAATAAAATGACCCATTTTTACTCCCTTTACAGTTCTGAAATCTACAGCATTGCCATTCATTTATCTTTTGATCGACACCTGGAGACTAAAAACATTTCTGTCATTACAAAGCCACAAGTAATAGGCCAGAGATCCCTGTCGCTAAGTGGGCACACTCTTCCAGGGCAACACGGGTCATAGCTGTGGCTGCCTGGAGACTGGGAACTGTTAAACACACAGGTGGATGGAGCTTCCCAGTCTTTCTCTTACACTGAAGCTCCTTCACCATTTAAGATTTATAAAGTCCCACCAATCTCAAATGAGTGATTCTCAGAATCACTGAACATATAATTGAAAACAGTTTATGAGCTCAAACAGCAACAGGTGGAGAAGTTGATATAAAACTTGTTATGAAACTCTAGAGACTCCAACCATGTGGAGCTCGAATGGACTTTTCCGTTCAGAGAAAGGAGGGCTCAAAAATATTAAATCAAACAAAAAAAATCTCTGAATACAGGGGTTGAATTCCTGGACAACTTATTTTGATTAGACATTTTAGTTAAAGGTTTTTTTAAGGCAGTATTTGTGTTCTTTCTATGAAACTTCTTTCACACTCTCACATAAATTATATACAAAACAGTAACTAGTTTTATCCCCAAAGAGTCTTAACATAAAAAGTTTGGTTAGGAGGACAAATGCTATTTAATTAGAAGTAATGACATCAATTTGACAGACTTTCATGAGAGTGAAAATTTTAGTTATTTGAGAATTAGTTAAAGTAGATGCTAGACAAAACATATAGCTTGACCTTAGAGGTTCTAGTTAGAAATAGACAACTGTGCCACCATAGCAGCTTTTTGCAAAAGTTTTCTTTATTATTTCATTTTTCAGATAGTAACTCAAGATACTAGCTAGTTTTATTTTTTTTCCAAAAATTAGTTTTTAAAAATTCAAAGAATGTGAAAGTTTCAGTGACTGAAACTTATGAAAGGCATTCGCCCACAGCTGATTGAATTGAAACGGCCACTGTGCTGTTTCAAGCTCTTGTCTGCCACCACCACTGGCTGTGATGAACTCACAGCTGTGCTTTTGGTGGCATCAGTCACACTCTTCTGATTGGGTTCTTATGGCTGCTCACCCACCCCATGTCCACTCTGACTCCCATTATTTCCTTTGCAGTACTAAGCCCGAAAGTGCTAGGCATTGCCATCGCTCGGTATGACTTCTGTGCAAGAGACATGCGAGAACTCTCCTTGTTGAAAGGAGATGTGGTGAAGATTTACACGAAGATGAGTGCAAATGGCTGGTGGAGAGGAGAAGTGAACGGCAGGGTGAGTTGTGGCTCTCAAGTGCTTGTGCCCTTGACTGAAGCAGACCAGTGGGAGGCATATGATGGACATCCATTGTGGGGCAGACTTCATGCCACCCACCGCTGGCCTAGAGACCAATGTCATGCCTTACTGAAAACGTGTTGCATAAATACCATAGTGACATCAAGAATGTTCGTGGCAGCAAGCTGGAGGGCTTCCTGTTTAGGAAAGAGCTGATGAGTATTTCAGTTCTTTTCAGAACCTCAGCCACAGAGCCTGTTTTTTATGTGGAGTGTCAGACATCAGTAAGAGCTGCGGATCCCAATTGGAAAGAATGGGACATGGTACTGTCTTTACACCCAGTTCTACAGCAGAAATAGGAGTCATTATGTACTTGAGACCTGTGTTACACTTAATTTACATATTTTTGTGTGTGCTAACAGATTCTAACTCATTGTTGAAGCTTACTTTATTCCTCTGTTTTTATCACTCAATCTCTTAGGCTTCTAAGAATAGTTAAACCCATTGTCTTTACCTATAGTGAGCATAAAACCCCAGTCTAATTGGGATATTATGAAAATGAAGGGCTGTTTGTAGAATCCTTTGAAATGCCAGATGCAACATCATGTTGGTTGCTTTCCTTTTTTAGGTGGGCTGGTTTCCATCCACATATGTGGAAGAGGATGAATAAATTCCAATCCAGCACTGGACCCTGGACCAGAAATCTCAGAGAAGGGATAAACAGAAGCCTGCACAGCATTATGAATTAACTGAAGTGTTTAAAAAGCTGAATTTCTGGCTGTTCAATATCCTCCCTCCTTCTTCCCTCCTAAGTCTTAATGCTGGGATTTCTAAAGATGTTTGGTACTGACAGATTAATGGTTTGCCTAGAGCTGTGCAAGAAACAGCCTGCCAGTCTGTCATTGTCAGGGGCCAGGGCAAAGCCAAAAGCTTTTCTTTCTAAAAAGAGTCCTGCAAACATATTGGTTCACGTTTCTCTTTACTTCATTGGGTCAGACACCATTAAATGCCCACCATTAGTAAATGCCTAATGCATATTTACATCATTCTCACCTTCCATTCACCAGGGTTTATGACGGCACAAAGAAGCAGAATTTTAATTTTGCTTTTCTCAGCATGAAGAAAAATTAGAGTTCTGCCATTTGGGTAGGATCCAGCCTACTGGAAAGATCCAGAATTACTTGTCTTAAATTGCCCAACAAGTGACTCATTGCCCAGCAAACACTTTTACCCCCAGATGTTACTCATGATAAACGTATGAGGCAAATGCTCTGGTTTGCATCATAAGAAATATATATTCCAGAGGGTTTTAATTATTCATTTGATGTCTTGATTATATTTGCAGACGTCTTTGTAAAAAGAGGGGGAAAAGCACATGAAAGAGAGTGTCTTCATATTAAATCTTCACAGCCTTCACGACTTCATAGGGTTATTTTGGTAGTACTTGACTTGATGAAATAATCTTGGCTGGGCATATTATGAATAGTTTCCAATAGTCTGAGTAAGGTGGCATTGTTTACAGAAACAGACCAAGGGCTATAATCTATAGTAAATCATTTCATAGCAGCAGTATCTATAACATATGCCTTTTCTTCCCCTCTTGGAAAGACCTGGAACATATCTGCTGATTCCCACATTTTCTTAGAGCAGCACAAACCACTCTAAGACTACTTTCTTTTCTACCATAGCACAGACTACTTTGTTGAGGATTTTGGAAGGAAAGCACACCTGGGTCCTTCATGCATTTCTGGGACAGAAGGAAGCTCACTGAGCTTCTATGGGCTTCCCATCTGCAGGCAATTCTGGACATGTACTGACTGGTGGGAAGATGAGTTTTGAAGTGGATTTATTTTAGCAGGCCTGCACTTCTTTTTTATGTGAGGGGTCTAAATATGTTCTTCCTGGGATGCACAGAGTCCCCAGTTGAGGCAATTAAGACACTAACTTGGCCCTTTCCTGATGAAATACTTCCTCCATAGTAGAAATCATGTTCTGACAAGATTTGGAGAGTGTTTCCTGTTTGGGGGAAAAATTTGTTTTCAAGCATTATAACTTCACAGAGCTGAACTAGGAATGTTGAGTTTTGAAATTTTGGATCCTCTCTGAAATGAAGTAACTATAGCTTGCCTTCTCCCCCAATCCACTAGGTGCCAGAACATGATATTCAGTGGACACATCCCCATCTAGAGACCCTCATGGGCTAGGTCTTCTCATCTAGGATAGACTCAAGACCTTTACCTCAGAATTATGTAAACTGTGATTGTGTTTTAGAAAAAATATCATTTGCTAAAACCAGTTAAGTTTTTGTATATGTGTAAACTATCATGAAAATGTATTTTACAAAATGTTCTGTATAGTGAAGTTACACTGCCAAGGTGCACTCTTGGAGTGGATTTCTTCTCTATAAAGTCTTACCTGTGACTCTCGTCTCGGGAATGTTATGTCTGTTACTGTCAGCCAAATGTTATTATGGAGAGCACAGTGTCACACAAATTGCAATGCTCCTGTGTACAGTGTTGTAGCATGTGTTGTTTATTTCAGTCAGTAGACTCCGCTTTTACAAATGGTGTGTGGTCTTCCTGTTGCATTTCATTGGACTGGGGGTTTCAGAGCAGAGGATATTAAAGCCCCTTTTCATGACATTACTGATTACAACTTTATCTTTGTTTAATACTTTGTATTGGAAACTTTAAATGCTGCAGATTTGTGTAGATTTCTAATACCAAAGACAGAAGTAAGTGTTTTCCATATACTTTGTCTTGCCTGTATGCAGCCCTTGTGTAATATGGTGAATTAGAGTGGTATTTTACTTTGTA